GTAGAACGTCATACAGTGTTTCTGGTGAAACGTCAGGGAAACGTGTTCTAATCTGTAATATCAAGTCATTCAATCTCATTCGAAAAGTAAAATTTATTTGCTGAAAGAAGAACTTACTTTCACCATTTTAAAACTAATTCCTAGGACGGATTTTGTCCAAACAGATAAATCAGGCTTGTTATAATCTAATTTCCAATTGTTATTATCATCATACAACTGCTTCAGTTTCTCAAAATCTTTATCTTCTGCAATTTTGACAATGCCAACATCCATTGTAACAATCTATGTAAAAGTAAAACAATATAAATAGTGTGTATATATATATATATTTATAAAAAATTACCTCTCTTCCTTTCAAAATTTTCTCCTCTCTCTCTCTCTCACACACACACACACATACATACACACACACACACAACACACCTGATATTTGTTAGAAGCTTATCAACAGGAGGACAAAACTATTATTTTTTTATTCATTCAATTTATAATATATCTGTAAATCTACACATGGCATATTATTTAAAGAATATTCCAACATATAATGATTCTTCCTATGTTCCATCTGCAAGAAAAGATTATTTTTGCTATAATAAATTACATATACAAATTTGAAAGAAAACGAAAGAGAAAAAGGAAAGCAAATGAAGGGAGAGAAGAGAAGACAAGAGAAGAAAAGAGAAGAGAAGAGAAGAGAAGAGAAAAGAAAAGAAGGGAAGGAAAAAGAGAAAAGAAAAAGGCAAAATAAGAATACATGTACATGCATGCTTCTATCGCAGTCCATCACTTTCCCATTTGTGGTCTGGAAGAAGCTGGTGATAATCAAGTCATATCACACATTCTGTTTAAAAAGCTCGTTATCGCAGGTGATAAAGACTCGAGATAATTGAATGTTGAGATGGCTTTCGAGCATGTCTCGCCAACGAGCTACGGTGATGATGTGTTACTTCCAAATGGCACATACGAGCTAAATGTGTCGCTGACAACATCGGGAACGGATGATGCGAGCAAACTCGTATGTTTCAAAAACCACGCGGTAACATACTTTTGAGCAACTGGTTCGAGCACTAATCTTTTTACACTCGAATCCCGACTTTGAATGTACAAACGCGATTGTTTTACCGTTGTTTACTCGGTGGCTGTGAAAGCAAACAGCTGCATACTCGTTACTGTACGACTGTACAATCTGCACATACGTATGCCATCAAATCATGATGAGAATTTCAGATTTGCTGTTGGATGCTATCATCGTTGTAATTCTCAAGCCTTCAATTTTGGCACATTTGGCAACATCGATGTCAATAGTCGACTTGTCATTATCAGCTGATGAAACCATTGATCTCTAGAGTGAATCCAGATACGCAACCGCTCACTGAGCTCTACTGAGGCTGCGTTCCACTTAACGCTCACAACGCTCGTGGAATCATTTTATCCTTATCGTTTATCCAATGTTAAACAAGGACAAATGATGCTCACGAGCGTTGCGAGCGTTAAGTGGAACGCAGCCTGAGTGAGCTCCGCTCAGGGAGCTCTCTCATCTGATTGATCCATATTTTAGGATTTAAAAAAATATTCCAATCAGATGAAAGAGCTCACTGAGCGGTTGCGCATCTGTAGGTCTATTCTGTAACTTTTAACGACAGTTCGGTACTGTTATATTGTTGTTGCGCAGCTTTTTTACCATGTAAAATATCTGTGCAATGATATCGTAACGATATCGACACTGACGTTAAGGGTGAAGTCCCATCAGGCATGTTTGCCGCGTATCGCGTAAGCGCATAACCAATCAATAATCAGTAAAACGCGAAACTATAACAGCAGATCGCTTCTGATTGGTTACGCGGTTATGCGATACGCGATAAATACACCTCATGGGACTCCACCCTAAGGCACGATGAAACAGAGCCGCCATCTAGTGGAACATTAGTAAATTAGAGTTCAGTGAGCAATTTGGCAGTGTTTTTCGAACATTTTTTCATGCCAGTTCGACCTCCTTATCTCTATTCTTCATGCTTGTGAGTATCTGACCACCATTTTTACTCTAGGGGTACGTTCCTTTATTTACTGCAAGTACTGCCAGTACTACCAACGGCGTTCCAAAATGGATTGCAGTGTACTGCGAAAGCACTTGTACAGATCTATGACATCATGAATTTTGATGTCATTTCCTGTTGAAACTACTGCAGCCAGCGAGGTAAAGCAGTCGCAGTTCAAGATGGCTACTTACTTAGAGATAACCTTAATCGATAGTGAAACTAATGAATCATATAAAATAATTGTTAGTCCCGAGGATGCAAAAAGAGCTGAAAATGGCAAGGATTATCTTATTGTAGATTTCTGTATCGCTATCACTATCACTTGATTCATCCTCAGCTATAATTTCTACTAGTATAGTTGCAATAAATGCAATTATATTTTCATTGAGTATTTCACTCATTGTTTACGAAAAACAAACAATGTTAATTATATACAGTGGTCAGTGGACGTAATGTACGTTAACTTGGTTAGTTGAACGAAGCGTACTGCGATAAGTTCCGATTTGTAAAGTTGCAACACCTCGATAGTTCTCGAAGTTAAAATGGAACGCTATTGGCAGTACACTTTTTGACGTCATAGCATCAGTACTTGCAGTAAATAAAGGAACGCACCCTAGAGCTCTTCTCTTGACTTTCCTGCCGGCTCTGCCATGCAGGCCGGGGCGTCCCCCTTAGCGCCCGATCCGGGCGGCGGTCCGCCATTGACGGACGCACGTCGCTTTTTATCTCTTGAAGACTAATAGTTTCTTCGAACGTGCGGGAGGCGCGACTGATTCTACGCAATCGAAGATTGCACAAGGTGATGTACCCTCACCATCCTCTGCTTTCTTTATCCCGGATCTACAATAGAATTTTAAGCCTTAAAGCATAAGAAATGGACGAATCATAGTCGATTATTCTCCTCGAATTCGACTGTAATTGGTCAATTTCTTACTGCTTAAGTCTTAAAATATCTATTGTAGATCCGGACTTAAAAAGCCGGATTTCTCGACGGTGTCGGATTCGAGTAAAGGACCCAATAAATCTATGAAAAAAACAAAGAAACGAAGCTTGCTTTCCAGCAAGGACATAGTCAGACACTGTGTTACACAGTGTCTGACTGTGTCCTTGCTGGAAAGCAAGGGAAAAGAAAAAGGATGATCATGAATCTAGTAGTATAGCTGTCGTTCTCCTCGCTTCCTCGTCTAGGCGTACATGTTCAAGGTCGCCCGTTAGGTATGCTTCGGATTCCGAACTTTCCTCATCACACGATAACGTTGTTCGTGCGAATGCTATGGACGTTAGCTTCGAATCGGAAAGCGAATCGCTTTATTCCGGGTGTGACGGGTCCTACCTCCCCCCGAATGCCTCTACCCCTGTTGAGTCCTCTCCTGTGACGTGCGGGACCTCGCGCGCGGACAAAAAATCTACATCCAACAAACGACCTCACGATGACGGGCCTTCAGTGGTCGAGCCCCGGCCTAAGGTCGCCCCCTCAACCGTGGGACCTTCCATCACCAATCGTGTTCCGCACGAGAAGTGTGTTGCTTACGAGAAGGTGGATCGATCCCCTTACATTGTATTTGTGCGTAGCGTCTTATTATATTATATTAATTTAATATATATACATACTTGTCTGTGATAAAATATCTGCAGATATTATGAAATTATTATATGTTTAACAAATTTTGATTTTTATCGATGAATTTAATTAAAAATGTATGGCTACAAAAAGTTTGAGATAAGTCGAATGGGTACCCTCATATTAGCGGGATAGTAATAAATCAAATTTTTGAAAAATGCAGAAAAATAAAGAATTGTTAAATTTCATATAATAAATTTTTCAGTATAAATATTCTTTGAAATCTCGTTATTATCGGGTTCGCCTTATCTCGAACAGTTTGTTGTACCTTTCGGTGCAACAAGGTATAATTTTGGGGATTCGGTCCGCCTGAAGGGTTGGGTCCCACGAGGAGCGCTAAGGAGGGTGCACGAGGGGTAACGAGTGAACACTCACTTCAATTGTTGTTAGTACTTCTTCTGCACGTTCATCAATTTTTCATTAAACGTTGGTTTAGAAAAATTTATGTCGTATGTATTATATTTTCGATGTTTTCGTATAATCTCGCATTACTAAAATTTGTTAATTATGCTACTATATTATCATCTTTATTATATATATTTTGAACAGCATTTATTATTGTATACTGTGTTGTAAATAATTATTATAATTTAATAACGAATCGTATAAAGGATTTGGATTGCAAAGAATAATATTAAAAAAGTTATTACAATTTTTTTCATTAGCGAAATACAATAAAATAATTAAACATAAAAAAAATTAATTAAAAATATACTTATATGCAAAAACCGGCTAAATTTATTAGTAGCTCATTTTTTTTATGGTAAGTACTTACAAAGAAAAGAGGACCACCGATAAAATTGGCGGGGATGGTACGTGGAGATATAGCTCGTTTTGGCTAAATTATATTTTAAATTGACAATACATGTTTAGAAAAGTTTGAATTTATTAAAAGTTTCTATATGTATATTGCATATATATATTGTATATATATATATATATAATTGCTAGTAATTATAGAGACTTTGATACATTATATCAGTAATTATGTTTGATAAAAACGGGCTGGAAATTTAGAAATAAAGAAACATAACTTCGTAATTTTATAAGATATTATAAGATAAATATTATAAGACAAAATTCACTAAATTAACATGTTTGAATTTTCAATTTCGTTTATTAAAATTCAACAATTTTTATTTACATATGTATGTAGGAGATGCGAAATTAAAATTTTTTCGTTCAAGGATTAAACTATTCCTGATAGTCGGCACGTTTCTATTCTGAGGATTTAGTACAGACACGAACCACATCTATTTTCGACGATACGATTTTATCGATAGTGTCAAAAAATGAATGTAGTCACGTAGTTCCCAAACTGAAAATGGAGGTACTGGCTAGTGTACGGACGATTTCGACACAGGAAAATAGCCGACATATCATGGCCTCTCTCAAGTTTGCTCAAGTTTCTCTCTGTTCGTGATAACTAATTACAAGGTTTGTCGCATTTGCACAATTTCGACGATTTCCACGATTAATTCGACAATGAATGTTGTGTACAATCGTGTTACATCTCGCGTAAGTTTGAGAATATTGAATAAGCAAACATGCGGATAAAGTTTTTTTATTAAATATATAATACTCAAATAATTTTCTCTCTCTCACTCTCATACACACACACACACACACGCACGCACGCACGCACTCTCTCACACACACACACTCTCTCTCTCTCTCTCTCTCTCACCGACTTCATACACACACAACACACACAGATAGGACCGCTTATACTTACGAGAGATGTATCGGTATGTTGTTGTAAGCGAAAAGACAATTTTCAAGATAACAATTTAATTCATCCGGAAGGTCAGGAGCCCGATATTCCACGTTATGTGGAACGAGAAGGAGAAAATGCCAATCTCAAACGAGCACGGTATCGTTCAAAATTCTTTTACAATCTAACAATTATTTCTATCGATAGTTCCAAAGTAACAAGCTGATTCTACAATAAGTCGATAGTCCTAAGTTTTATTGGTGAATCGGTGAAATTGGCCAACGGCCAATTTGTACAACTAAGACTACCGATTTTCTTAAGACTAACCAAATTCGACTTTATTCCTTCCTATTAGTCGAGCTAAACGACTCGCTAACGACTAACGACTAGTTGCGAAAAATCATAGTCGCCTATTTATGTTAAAACTAGTTAAGACTTAAGATTTCCGACTATCGACTTATTGTAGAATCAGCATAATATATAAATTATAATTGAATTAAGGTTTAATTAATATCATACTTTGCCATGATCATCATTATTTACGCAAATAATTATTTACAATCGATTTGTAGATAAAATTTTTTGTTACACTTTTTTTCCATTGTCAATTTAGATTGACATATCAATCTCGTAAACGTGGCATGTTGGAGAATGGTCTACTTCTTAGTACCTTTGCAAACAAATATTTGAATACGTTTGATGACAAACAATTAAGATTATATGATCAACTTATAAATTTACCATCCAACGATTGGGATATATTCTATTGGGCAACTGGTGTCAAACCAACTCCATCTGAATTTGATAATGAAGTGATGGACTTGCTGAAAAATCATATTCAGAATGAAGACCGACAAGCTAGGACAATGCAACCAGATTTATAAATAATATATTATAATAATATATTATAAATAATATATTATGTAGCAAATGTTAAAAGAACCTAACCTAATGTATATCTAGTAGATATAATAATCTAGACTTTGAATATAAACTTGTATTAATTTTAAGTACAAATCATGATAAGCAATAAAGAATTATTGAAAACACCATTTGTAAATCTCAGGTTATTCTATTATTGCATACATATCTATTTTAATCAGACACTGATGAAGCTGCTACATTTATATAATTTGTCTTAATAATGTTTAACAAAATCACGTCTTAAAAAATATTTTATTACGAAAGATTTATTTTACATACATGTCTGATGATTACTTGGATACAAAAATGAATTTGCATTGTTTATCAAATTCATTCAATAAAATGACTAAAATGCCATACAGAGAATTTCGGATATCACGTATCTTAAGAGAGAGTGTCCCATTTGACATTGCGATTGACTACAACCACTCATAATACCGATGCCTAAAATCTTTCCATGGGCCGAATGCTGTAAGAGGCTTATGATCAATCAACTATAACGTGGTCAAACAACTCTCACCTCTCCCAACATATATACAGAGATTGTGTTTGTACACTATCGCAAATGCCGTAAATAATTTGTAATAGTAAGAATTAATCAAGCAATGTTCATGTATCTATTAGGATTTGCCAGATATTGTTTACTTTGACTGAAACTTGCAAGTCCTACTGTCTTTTTTATAGTAGTATTATATTTTGTTGAACCTTTTGATGAACTTCTTGATGAACTTTTTCCTCTTCTTGCACTGCAAATACAAAAATACAAAAATATATAATTATGTATAAAACTTGTATGAAATCCTTTATAAAACATACGCGCGCGCAATTTTTACTAATTAGTACATATAACCATCATGTATGTTGTATATAACGAGAAAAGTAACATATGCTCGCACATATTTCTTTTTATATTACCTCAAACCACCTCGTTTATATTTTTTATTAGTATTATTAGATCTATTGCCCATCTTTCGTTTCTTGCCATTGCTAGTACTATTACTATAAGAGTAACTCGAATCATTATCATCCCAGGTGTTATCATTATCATCACTATTCTGATCTTCATCATTTTTATTCAATAATTCTAAAAAAAAAAAATAATAGAATAATGAATAAAGTATTACTTTACACTAATTATATGCGAATACCATACCAATTTTTTCTTTCGCATATTTCTGCGTAATATTTAAAAGAGCTTTGCCATATTTAACAAAGTTAGCCTTAGTGACGTGTGGTATTTGTAACATGGCTTCTTCGGTTTCCGGTAAACGCTGGCTCATAGCTCTGACAGCTACCATATTCATAATAGAAGAAGCAGAAACATCCAACGCACTAGCGATACCCCGTATTATCGTCATCAACTCGGCATAACAACGATCTTGCAATTCTTTTATAATACCATCGACTTTCTTTGTAACTGTTGAAACTGTAGCTACACCACTAGTAGATTTATTCGATTGTCTCGTTGGGATTTGTACCTTTTCAGGATAAAACAAAACAATGAAAACAAAAAATTTTCTTATATATACTAATATCTTGCACGCACGCACGTACACACATACAGGGTGTTCCATTTTAAATAATGCATTAAGATTTCTCAAAAACTATGGTAGATACGGAAAAATGTTTCAAACAAAAGTTGTAAGGTTCGGAGGAAGACATAAGAAGGTACTATTGATTTGACCTTGGATAGTCGTTTGAAAATCACGTGAAGGTCACCTTCAATTTCTTAAATGGAAACCCTCATTTTTCATTGCATATTCTTGTAGCTTACCTCGAGAGCTTTCCAAAACACTATAATAAAATATTTTATCATTAAGTACTTCTCAAGTTATAAGGCTCGAATGTTACAGTACCGCCGACATTAACATTACGCACTGACAGCGTAAGTGTCCGGCCGACGAATGTTATCCGGAACATGAGCTTGAATAACATTAAAAAGGCTAAAACCTTTTGAATTTTGGTCAGGCTCATGTCCTGGATAACATTCGTTAAGATCAAGATCATTGGAGATTGTTTCTCTTATTTTCATTTTTGCATTGAAAATTCATTTTTCAACATTAAATGTTAAACAAGGACAAATGATGAATCCAAGGCATTGGAGGCATCCGAGCGACGTTTCCGAACGAAGCCATTAAGCATTGTAGGAAAAAATGATTCAAGATTTTTGACTCAATTTTTGATTGGGAATAGCGCTATATGATTAGTTGGCGCTATTTATTTAAACACCCTGTATATATATATATATATATATATGTACAATGACCAATGTACATACATATATATATATATAAACATGTATATGACTTGGATATTATATCGAATGATCTATAAACTCTTTTAATTATACATTTTGCATTCTAGATATCTTATTAAGATTAAATACCTTTACATCTTTTTTTGTCATGAGTTCACTCGCTTTTGGTCCAATTTTTACATATGCACAAGCAATTTCGTTATTAATATACATATTTTCTTGTAAATATTCTTGCAATACCATATAATGCAAAAGGCGTTCTATGTCACTTTTGTTCCATGATTTACCACGACCATATAAAGGATGTTTTGTAAGACCTGTAAAAAGAATTATTTAGTTATATCATTAATATAAATATCAATTCATCTTTTATTTTATATATATATATATATAGTATGAACCTGATTCTCTAATCTTTTTCAGATCACTACCCTTAAAAATGTCTGTTAAGAATACTAATGTAAGTTTGGAAGTCTTTCTATTGTTAATATCTCGTACAGCTTTCATAATCTCTTTTGCATCTTCAGTAACGTCCAACATTGTAATCTCGGCCTAAAATTATTAATTAGTACCAATTCCATTTAGATAACTATATTTTTGTTGTGATAATAATTTATCTAATCCATATGACATACCTTAGACCTACAATTATCACACGTAGTTATTTTATTCGAGATGCATTGTTGCCTATCAAATACCTCTCCAAAATAATTAAGCTGTAACGATCTACGGCAGTCTGTAGTATTTTCACAAAATGCTACTATCTTAAATAAATTATCCATGTGTGTACTAATGACTTGTGAATTTTGATTATCCTGTTCAATCATTTTTCTGATTCTGTGCATGTCTGCATAATGATAAAATAAAATGCAATCTGCTATTTCACCATCACGACCAGCGCGACCACTTTCCTGATAATAGCTTTCTATGGACTTTGGTAAAGCTGCATGTATTACAAAGCGCACGTTTGGTTTATCAATGCCCATTCCAAAGGCTATAGTCGCACATATAACATGTACCTGAAAAAAGTATGTGAAAATATAATTTTATTAAAAATATAATGCACGCACATAAACATATATAGATATGTCTACACGCACATACACTTTAATATTTTATACTTTTATAATTACATATTTCATAACATAATTTTATACATTATATGAGTGCATATGCACGCGCGCACGTGCATGTACGTGTATTTTTTGTTGTGTATGTAGTATAACAAATATACTTCATCGGAAATCCATTTTCCTTGACAGTTGCTTCTTTGAGTATCTGAGAGTCCTGCATGATAACTCAATACTTTAATACCATTTTTTTTCATATGTGCAGCGTAATCATCGCAATCCTTACGCGATAAACAATATACGATACCACAAGCATTTTTAAATTTCGTCATTATCATAGCTACGATTTCATCAGAACAATTTTTCCCTTTCTTCGATATTATACTATATCTTAAATTAGGCCTATTGAAACTCGACATAAACCTAAAAAATGTAATCATTAATCTTTTTCACAGATGGGAACACCATTACTTTGCTGATTGTTACCTGCTTATTACAATAACGATTTGGTAATGACGTTACAAATTTTTTATAACGGTAATGGTAACACCAAAGTTGGAAAAATCAATTGTTACTTGTAACTGGTTGAAAAAATCATTCGTAACTGAAAAAAATAACTTCTAATTTGTAATATGCGTTACTTTTTTATTTGTGATTGGTTACATATTACTTTTTTCAATAAGTAACGCATAATGGTGACAAGTTACTTTTCAAAATGACTTTTCCGACCTTAGTACAATCTTAGTTACTGTCATAAAAAGAATTCCAACGTTATTATCAAAATATTTATTATAAAAAGTAACGTCAAAGTAACGTTTCCCAATTTTTTTTAATATAGAGTACCATGCAAACAAAAATTACATATTCACACACACGTACACACACACACACACGCGCGCGCGCGCGCGCGCGCACACAGATAATCAAATATACCATTTTGGATTAGTCATGCCCAACTGATGCAAAATATCTGTTCTAACACGTGGTGTGGCTGTTGCAGTTAGAGCCATTGTTGGCACTTTGGGATAATTGTTCCTGAGAAATTTTAATTTTTTATAGTCTGGTCTAAAATCGTGACCCCATTGACTAACGCAATGTGCTTCATCAATAACAAATCTTGTCAACAATTCTCTCTCATACAAAATAGTCAGAGTATTACAAAATTTTTGCGAGGCGGAAATTTTTTCTGGTGTTACATATAATATTTTGAGAGCTGGTTCTTTTTTGGAAAGTTCCCTGTATATCGCATCTGCTTGATTATCTGTTATAGAGCCAGATAAATGAGCTGCAGGAATCTGTAATTTTAAATCAAAAGTAAAGAATATACTGTAATAGTATACACATTTCTGTAATGTAAATGAGTATTCTTTTTATATTATGTTTTTACATTAGATTATTTCTCTCGTTATGTATCTAATAATAAGTAATAATTAATAATCGTAATAAGTAATAATCGAGGGGGAGAGATGGTAAGTAAAGTAACGCCGTTATTTTTATAGTTACTTTTTATAATAACGATTTAATAATGACATTGCAATTTTTTATAACTATTGATAACTAATTAAACACTAAGGTTGCGTTAACGTTGGAAAAGTCACTTTGAAAAGTAATGTAATTTATTGTCATTATTACATGTTTACTTACTGAAAAAGAATAATTTGTAACGAGTAAAGAGTAACTCAATACAAATGCCGAATTAATTTCCAAACTTGATGTTACCGTTAGTCATAAAAAAAATTTGTCATTATCAAATTGTTATTATAACAAAGTATCGATAAGGAAAGTAACGACATTACAAGTAACGTGTTACCTGCCATCCCTGGTAATAATACTTTCTCTTACATCAAGTGAGATAAGTTTTTGAACTTGGTCTAAAATAAGACTTTTTAATGGTGAGATAACAATAGTTAATCCAATGTTTAAAAGGGCAGTAAGTTGATAACAAAGAGATTTTCCACCGCCAGTCGGCATTAAAATAAAGCAATCAAATCCCAAAAGTGTCGCATTGATAGCTTGCAACTGATTTGGTCTAAAAGTATATAAACCAAACTTCTGCCGAAATATCTAAAATGAAGAAACATAATTAATGTGCAATTATAACTATATTTTCACTATTGGTCTAATATGTTAAATGTAATCTAACTATATGAATTACTTATTACAAAACGGCATATTTATCTGTAACAAAGTTATAAAAATCAAAATTACCAAATATACTTTATGTACCTTTAACATTTCTTGTGAGTGTGAATATGTTAAACTATCAAATTCTCCACTAATACCATCATTTTTATAATTACCAGTAAATTGTCCATATTCCACACTATTTTTTTCGATTTTTGATTTTGCTTTATCATCAGTGTGACAATTGCTACTTTGTGCCACATTACTCAGTGGCCAATCTACAAATTATTGGAATTATTATTTATCATATTATATTATCGGCATGTACAATAAATGTACAATAAAATATAAAATAAGAGTGTGCGTGCGTGCGTGTGTGTGTGCATGGGTATAGGTGTAAAACTCATACCTGTAAAATCATCGTTTATATCTATATTACAATTTTCTCCTAAAGCTGGAAATTGATCTAATTCTTGTGTTAAGGTTTCAACTTTTGCAGTAAATCTTTGGGTGCCTATAAAATATATTTTCTCATTGAAAACTAAAAGAAGAAAAAATTAATGATTCATTCGTTACCTGCCATATCTTGAGATTTATTTATATTAATCTTGTTATCTTCCAAACTATCCAAGATGGCATTTCTTTGCATAAATCTATCTTTTTCACTTGATGGTGATGGAATACTGTCATTAAATGTATCTTTTATGGAGATACAATCGGAATCCACTGAAGAATTCATTGTTTTTGATACTTGTTGGTCTTTTTCCCACATTTCTGCTATCGTTTTAGAAACTTGAGTGCCTAATACTGTTTTGACAGGTCTTTTTAATTGGAAAGTACTCTTCTTATTTGTAGGTATAATTTCAGGTGGCTTAACTGCTGACACAGCTTCCAGATTATTGGATGCTAAATCGTATTCCTTTGCATTTGTCTTTGCATGTGATTCCATTAAATTTGTTAAATCTTGAAAATCTATCGTTTTGGATACAGAGGTACATGAAGCAGTAAAACTGTCACAGTCATTTATCAAGCGACTCTCAGACATGTATGAAATTGGTGTTTTAATTGATGTTGACGATGCAGATCTAGGTGTTTCTGGAGACTCGGATATATTCCTTTCATCTTCCTTTTGCAACTTTGACAACTTGGTTTGTACTAAACGTAATTTAGCTTTTATGTGTCGATGCAAACCTTGCAACTTTTTGAAAGAGTCTGCATCAAATTTTGGAAATTGTTCTAGTATTGGTAATGGAATTGATTCGAGCGCGACACAAAATTTGTCAAGAATTTCAATTTGAAGTTCCTTTAAATCTTCACGTCTTTCAAGCAACTTGTCTTCTATAACCTAAATATAATGTCCAAAAAAAGAGAGAAAACAATTACCTTGAATTTAAACATTTTACATAAAATATTGAAATATTGAAAAATATTCAAAATATGAAAACTTACAGGTATTGTAGACATTACTGGTTTCTGTTGAACAAATTCAATCCATGAACCTAATTGCTTATTTAAACCTAAATCTTTCAAATTTAATTTAATATCAGGACCAACCCAATCATTTCTCTGTAATCTCTTGCCATTATATTTTGAGCTAGGATAGCTACTATCTGTATCAGAATCTGAAGTTATAGTATTTTTCTTTCCTTTATTTGATATTGTGTCATATTTTTTTGGAGTCCATAAATGCTTATATTCTGTATTTTTAGGTATTTTTTTAAATGGGCTTTTGTAGGAGTCTGAACTATCTGAATTATCCTGCAGTTCAAAATATTGACATCAAATTGTTTTGTAATAAAAATTACTAAAAATGTGTTTTGTAAATCATAATTTCATAAAATATTATACATGCATACAAATTGACGATAATACTGTAGTTTTATTTATCGATTAGAACTATAACATATCTTACAAGGTTTATTATCGTGTCTATTGTTACTGAGTCTCCAGCTATCCTCCTTTGTTCATTAAAATACGAATTATTTGACCATTCATCATTTAAATCTTTTTTTTCTGCCACTGATTTTGATATACTAAAAAATATTCAATTACTCCTTCAATTACTAATTTAATTTTAAAAACTATTAAAAACATGAAACATATATTACATCATAAAAATTTAAATATATTGAGAGGTACATGTATATCTTATTTAAGGCATTTTTATAAACTATAAGATAAACTTTGACTACCTAGTCAGAATATTGTTTTCATTTGTATTCTTTCCCAAAAAGCCCACTATCGTAGATTGGGTATTCTTTTGACCAAACACGGTCTTTTTTGACATTGTTAGACAACTACTTTAAGTGACTACTAGCAGTTTGCTTAAGTTTGTTTTACTCGAATACTTTGTTATTGAAACAATTATTCTTGGAAGTCATGTAAACACTGTACTACACGCTATACCTACTACTTTATGTACACACTTAAACTTGATTAATATTTCGTTGATCATTAAAGTTAGAGGTTAAGGGCTACCGAAGCCAAAATTCCGTAACATGTAACACGGTACGCGGGACAGTAACTGAGGAACGCGCTTTCAGCGCCATGTATAATACTATCATTTGCTGCGTTCAGCAGAACGTTTGTTTTGCAACTGTTGGAAGTTTCCTTCGCGCTAATTGGATCATACTTTTAGATCTAGAAGAATGGTCCTATCTCAGCAGACAATCATAAAACGGTTGCAAAACTGTTGAGTCTGCTGAACGCAACCCTTGTCTCACGTCTAAAGCCTTGTGTCCACGATGTAAAGCCTTGTGTCCATGATGCTAGAAATTGGTCCGAGATCTCGGAGAGAGAAAGAATTAACTAATCACATTTAAACAATTTAGTCACATGATCAATGCGATTGGTCAATTCTTTCTTCATCCGAGATCTCGGACGGATTTCTAGCATCGTGGACACTGAGCTTTAGAAATTGGTCCGAGATCTCGGAGAGAAAAAATTAACCAATCACATTTAAACAATTTAGTCACATGATCAATGCGATTGGTCAATTCTTTCTTCATCCGAGATTTCGGACGGATTTCTAGCATCGTGGACACTGGGCTTAAAGCCTTGTGTCCACGATGCTGGGGTGCGTTCCAAAATTCACTCCGAGTAACAGAGTTTAACTCTACGCCGTTCTAAAACGCGAGGTAACTGACCATATGGGCGGAGCCTATTCGTTCCAAAAGTATGAGTAAATCTACCTCGGAGTCAACTCTATGAACCCTGCTT